GTCTCACAAGAGGTTGGGGGATAGCTGGAGTTTTTTTTTTTTTTGGATTCTGGAGTTTAGAGCTGCTCTCCGCAGAGTATACAAAATGTTTGAACTTGGTTTGAAAAGGGACAGCAAACAAGGACCACCACACCAGCAGCTGGTCCAGCAGCCAAGCACTTTCTGGGACATGACATATTTCATCATGCCAAGTAACCCAAAGAAGACACAGGTGAGTGTCCTCGTGCTCCCCTGTGTACATCTGGGGAAACTGAGGTACAAAAGATCATCCAGAGCAGAGTAAGGACTAAGTAAGGAAAGAAAAAGCCTTTGAAAGACCTTAGCATGGAGACTAAGGGTACCTCCCCAGGTGACTTCAAGGGCTCAGTAACCAGATGTTTCCCATTTCCTCCGTAGACACGAAGAAATATACACAGCAAAGAGGCAGCTGGCCAGAAAGAAGCTATGGAGGGAAGTCTTTCCTGGCACAGAGATAAAGTCCCACTAGTATGGACAGTCTGAGCCTAGGCTTCAGTTCCCCCCATGTCATCCTCACCTTAAGAATTAGAGGGGTCACATGGATCCCCCATGGGACATACCTTAGCCTAGAGCAGTAGGTTAGACAGGAGTAGAAGAAGGTGCAGGGTGACAGTCGCTACCCTTGAGTAGTTCGTAGCTGACAGGCTGTCAGGAAACCACTCATACCAAGCCAGACTAAGATACAGGTACCACCATCGGGCGGGCACCTTGACAGGAAAGCTGACCAACAAGGGAACACGAGCTAGTCTTCGCTCTAAGCAGGGAGAAAGAAAGAGGGAGGGAGGGAGGGAGGGAGGGAGGGAGGGAGGGAGGGAGGGAGGGAGGGAGGGAGGGAGGGAGGAAGCAAAGAAGGAAGGAAGGAAAGGAAAGGAAGGAAAGGAAAGGAGAGGAAGGAAGACTAAAACTGAATATTTAGGGTTCAATCCCATGCCACTATTTAATCTAACTGGTAGACTCCTAAGGGGCTCCTCGCATGCTGGAGTTAAGGAACCTCTCCGTGAGTATTCTGGACATGCCATAGATGACACTGCTCCCCACAGGCCGCTGTGTTCCCTTGGTGGAAGACCGTGAGAGGCCAAGCTGGCTACATTAGGCTCTGCAGTCCTGCCCTACTCGCTATGGACCTTGGATAGGTTACTCAGCCCCTCTGAGCTTGGCTTTCGTAAGGCAGAAGCATGGATCCCGTCAGGCGTGAGTCCGCACACACAAATCCCTGGGAAGAAGCCAGGGAAGGGCTGGGAAATGCACCTAGCTGTTGTGACAGGGCTTGAAGCAAAGCGAGCACTTCCCCCACAAGAGTTCTCTTGGGTGCGGATGACTGCACCGAGCTACAAACAAGCCGCAGCATAGTGACCCCGAAGAAAGAGAGAGGCCCCAGAGCTCATCTGGTCAGGACACTCAAAGCCAGGGCCCTGTGAAGGACAGTTTTCCTGGACCCCTGCCTCACCCACCAACCTCCCCACAAGAGCCACGCCCAGCCTTTATCCACCACTAAGCATGTCCCACCCACAGCCTGCGGTGGGATTCGGTTGAAACAGTTTTGAGGACAGAAAGCTGTTGTTCCTGTCCTCCTTTAGCCTAAGATAAGAGAAACTTGATGCCAAGGGGGCTAGGTGTCACCAACGGCACCCTCCCCTTGTGAAGACAGGGAGAGGGTCTCAACTTTCCTCAACGACGCCCCGAGAAGCCCAGAAGTGGGACAGTACAGGAAGGGGGTGCCGTCACTTGCTTCTTCGGATCGGGCTCCAAAACTGGGTCTTTGATAAATTCCGACATGCGGTATTCCCCAGCACAATTCCCCAGCACAGATGCCTGGGGATTCAGGCATCTGACACAGCCCAGGAGAGCACTGTTCAGAATCAGGAATGTAGTCACAAACCAGAAGTTTCACAGCAGACAGAACAAATCTGCAAGCTACTATTCAGTTTCCAAGTCCTGCCCTACCCCAGTCCCGGATGGTCAGAGCAGGACAAAGGAGCCACGAGCTCAAGGTTCAGCAGCTCCAGGTTCTAGGCCCCCGACTCTGGGACTGATAAGCTGTGGGGGTATCAAAACTCACATCCCTGTTGGTTCTCCAAGCTCCTGCTAGCAAGCCTGGCTGAATATTCTAGAAATGTCTTGTAGCGATTCCTGTTGGTTTTCACCATGTGCAAATATCAACCAGCCAGCCAAGCAATCAACATTGGCATCCCCACACCTCCTTGGATACCCTGGTACCACAATAAACAGCACCAGGTTTAGAGCCTGGCACTGGACCTAGAATCCCAGCTCAGTCACTTTCAGCTGTGTGACTCAAACACTACACTTAGCCTCTCTGGTCTTCTCTTTCTCATTGTAAAAATGGGGCTAATTAATTTTAACACTGTATTCTCTCCTATGATTATTATAGGAGCTAAATTGTATGTAACAGAAGAGGCTTAATTTCAATTGCCTCAAAGTTAATAAGCACTAGACAAATGTCAGCTGTGATTATTTCTTACGAAGCTAATTAACAGTATCGGGAAACTATTTAAGTGAACCGATTTCATGGGTGAAGGCTTCGTGTATCAGTGCAGGGAGATTCAACAGCAAAAGGAGGCCAACAAGAAAGACAGGATTGGAAAAGCAGGCAGGAGAGCAGGAAGGGATTTCTGCTACTGGGTACAATTCACTTATACACAGTACAGCCACCTCTCAGACCTGGAGTTTCTGATATGTTGGATCTGTTCAAAGGGATATGACGGCCAGGCGGTGGTGGCGCATGCCTTTAATAATCCCAGCGCTTGAGAGGCAGAGGCAGGCGGATCTCTGTGAGTTCAAGGCCGGCCTGGTCTACAGATCGAGTTTCAGGACAGCCAAAGCTACACAGAGAAATCCTGTCTTGAAAAACAGAGAGAGAGAGAGAGAGAGAGAGAGAGAGAGAGAGAGAGAGAGAGAGAGAGAGAGAGAGAGAGAGAGAGAGAGAGAGAAGACTGATAATTTAGGAAGCCGTTCTTTGCTTTGGTTCTTGAATTTTGAAATAAATACCAAAGGGATAAAAATGACGCTACAATTACCAAAAAAAAAAAGTTGAAAGAAAAGAAGGAAGAAGGAAGGGAGGAAGGAAGGAAGGAGCAGCAATAGGATTAAGAGTGTGAGTCAATGACATAGCAATGGACCAGCATTCCGGACCAGGCCCTGTGGCCATACTCAGAACGGGGGGGGCGTGTATGTGCACAGCCTTGAGGAGGGAAGGCAGCAATAAATAGAGAAATAAAAAGCAGACAGATAGGAAATCTGCATCCTCTAAAGCCTGCTGCACATGGCTTCAGGCCAGGATTTCACCCTGCTCAGCAAAGCCGCGATTCTGATCCCAAATCTGACCCCCAGTTCCTCCTCATGGCAGCTCAGAGGGACCTGGTGGACTGCAAAGTCAGCCTTTGAAGAACCCGTCCACACACACACACACACACACACACACACACACACACACACACACACACACACCATGCTGCAGACACATAGAAATCTAACGAATAACATCCACACCCTGTGTCTCTCTGGCTCTAAAACTCACGGCCCAGTATTTTCATCATACACCTTTCCCTTCAGTTGGCTGGTTTCTGTGTTCTCCTGGAAAGAAACCAGGAATGCTCTCACACAGCCCCTCTCCAGTTAGCTGCCTGCCTGCCTTCCTTCCTTCCTTCCTTCCTTCCTTCCTTCCTTCCTTCCTTCCTTCCTTCCTTCCCTCCCTCCCTTTTTCTCTTCCTCCCTTCCTGCCTGCCTTCTTCCTTTCCTTCCAGTTTACCTTTTCTAGGCCTAGGTGCCCGTTATAGAACATTACCTTAAGATGTGTTAGATTTGTTTATGCTGTGGAACACTGAATGATGCAAAGATGTGCTGCATTCTTTCATGTTGCGTCTGTTTAACGCTGAAGCTGTGTTGCTTTGCCTGCCTAAAACACCTGATTGATCTAATAAAGAACTGAATGGCCAATGGCTGGGCAGGAGAAAGGCTAGGCAGGGCTGGCAGAAAGAGAGAATACATAGGAGGAGAAATCTGGGAAGAGGGATGGAGGATCGGGGGGGGGGGAAAGGGAGAAAGGAGAATGTCAGGGGCAAGCCACCCAGCTGCACAGCCAGCCAGCTACACAGCCAGCCACGGAGTAAGAAGTAAAGAAAGGTATACAGAATAAAAAAAGATGAAAGCCCAGAGGCTCTTGAGATTTCCTTGGCAAACATGAACTCACTCCGAATGAAGCACTGAGAATACACAGTGGACCCAAGCCTACTACTTCTCCCAGTAAACATCCACAGTCTCATGGGAGGGACAGGACCCCTCGAAGAAAAGGGCACATTGGCCATGAGCTAAGTAAGAGACGGGAGCAGCTAACTCTGCTAGAGTAGCCACAGGGGGCTTTACAGACCCTTTACAGTGGGAGAAGGTGGTAGAGTCAGGAAAGTCCCCCACGCAGTCTGACGGATGGCAGAGGCATTTACCTGTGGTGATGTGGCCCGGGTACCTCTGAGACAATGTTTCTTACTGCTTCACTAGTTCGCACAGCAAGTATGGTAGCTCTTCCACTAACCCCCATGGAGTCTGTCCGAGAGTTGTGACAGATCCCCCAGGTGACAGGAAGTCCCACAAAGGGTTAAGTGAACATGGAAAGATGGAGAAGGCAAACGCATCCATGCCTCTAACAGACCAGCATCCTAAGAGCATGAAGCCCAGGATGCCAAGAATGACTGTGTGTTGTAGAATTGTACTGACCATTCACCTCGATTTATCACTCAATGAAAGAAAAATGGGGGGGGGAGAAAAAGGCAAATTCCAAAAAGATGAGGCAGCCCTAAAAATCAAGATAGAGAATGCCATGAACAACTCATAGCTCGGAATAACTGAAATGGAATTTCCTCCCCGTAACTGGAAGGCACAGGACCTCAACTCCAGTGAGGGGGGCCCTGGAGTCAGCCATGTGAATCAGCCCCTTGTTTGCAGTTCCAGGGAGCCAGGAGTCAGGAAGAGGCTGGGTGTGGAATGTGTACTTTTCCCTTTCTTCAGCTGTCACCCTTCCCCCACCCCGCCAAGGGTGCCCCTCTTACACCCTCAGCACACCCGTGGCTTGGAAACCCCCTGAATGTAGAATCGCTGAGGCGGCCGTTCAGAAAACGGGGAAAGTCCTCTGGGGATAGGGATGTAAGTCGGTTGCTTAAATGCCTGCCCGACGCCCTGTGGTGAAAAACTGGGTTTGATGCTCAACGCTCCATGAAACCAGGTATGGATGGTGGTCCAGGCTGTAATCACAGCCATCCGGAGGTAGAGACTGAAGTTCGGGGCCATTCTCTGCCATCTGCTGGGTTTGAGGTCAGCCTGGGATACCTGAGACCCTGTCTGAAGTGGAGGAGGGGGAGGAGGAGGGGGCAGGAGGGGGGAAGAGGAGGAGGAGGGAAAGGAAAGAGGGATGGTTTAAACTGTGAGTACTAGATGTGAAAGTGACCTCCATCTGCTCTGTTCGTTGGAGGCACAGTGTAATCAGCGAGGAATCCAGGAAGAGCAGCCGGAACTATGAAGCAAGGAGCGACCTTCCCCTTCCACCAGCCCTGCCAGCCACGCCAGCATTCACCGTCTCCCGGGAAGACCCAAAGAGCTGAGGCACAGCTCCCTGTCATACCACCTGAACACCGCCTGGCTTAAGTCTCTTCTAGAGACTCCAGAGCAGTGGCTGTAAACAGAAAGGCTCCTGTCACCTCCGAGAGTTGGAGTATATTCCGAGGCCCCTGACTCTGTGCACCTAGAGGCAGAAACCTGCCATCTAAGTGCTTAATGCCGGACGCTTGCAGCAAGCAGTGATGTAGGAGAGTGTGTTCAGACGATCCCAGGAAGAAATGTTACCTTAGAATCCTTGCTAGCTGGGGGCTGAACCACACCCCTACCTCCAGCCTCCATTTCGACACTGGCAATATGAAGATTATTGTACAGCCTTTACCTTTGGGAAAAATTAAATTGACTATCATCTGGTACAGTAAGAGTGTTCAATACAATGGAAGAATCGTGCGAGATCCTGACCATCAGAGCCCCCCACACAGCTACCTCTTCAACCTGTACAGCCATGACTTCGACATTTGATACATTCATGAGAAGTGCACCAGCCCCAAGGAGCATCGGGAAGACGCTGACCTCACCAAGCCACAAAAAGAGCCCACTCCCCTCAGCCTCCCGCTCGTCTACCATGGGAAGCAGAGGGTATCAGATATGCTGCTTAAGCCATTTATCACTGGTTCATGGCACCAACGGGGCCAATCTAGGCAGCCTGGCCTGCATTTCCCCCAATTTTCCCTTTCCCTTGTTGTTTGCTGTTATCTGAACGCCTGTCATCTTCAGGAAGACACAAATGCTACGCGAATTCACAATGCACTGCCAACGAAACCCTCCCAGCTGTTTGGAGGATTTATCTTCGTGCTAAGTAGAGAACAAATGAAACCCAGGAATGTCTTAATTAACTCCATAAGCATCAGCTGGGGATTTCTGCCCCCCACCCTTCCCCCTATCTCGCCGTTAGTCAATGAGGACAGGGAATCAACCCAGATAGTTTCTGCTAGGGTTTTCGACGAAGATGGGGGCGCAGGGAAGGCGCTCCCATTTGGAAGAAGACTGGCCCAGCTCACCCCCAAGAGCTGTCTGTCATTGACTGTGACCATCTGTAAGCTCCTAACCCTCTCTGTGAGGTCACTTGTAAATTGGTAGCCAGAAGAATAAAGACTAGGCTTTGCCAAGCCCTTGGTTTGTGCAGCGACTGTCCTAACTGTATTCTATTTAACCCCAAACCCTTCCCCGGAAGAGAAACTGTTACAGCCCTCTTTACAGGTGGAGAAACAGGCCAAGCAGATGAGTAACTTGCCTGAGACCATATCTGAATACACTAAGTTGATATTCAACCAAGGCCACCCAGATTACCGCCCCCCCCCCACACACACACACGAGCTCTAGGTTAATGAGACAGAAAATATTCAAGACTGTGATGCTGAGGAAGCCCAGGGTAGACGTTGGGCTGGACTTCGGTTTCCTCACTTGTGACATGAGGACAGAGAGCACTTCCCAGGGCTGCTCTGAAGGATCAAGGAGATAAGGTCAGTGAAACCCTAGAGAAGACTAAAAACCACCTGAAGAGTAGGGCGGCGTGACTTGTCAGCACACTGCCCTGCACTGAGTAGGTCCTCCTCAACGGCTCAGAGACTCTGGAGAGCTAACCACTGAGTGGGCCAACCTTGCGGCTTTCTTGGGAATGACTGAGGTAGGACTGAGTGAGAAGGCTATCTTCTCAAGTATCAGCACTGTGGCCCTGTCCATCTGCTTCTTTGTACACTTAAACTCCCCCACCCCCCACCCCATGAGGATGCACAGTGCCTCTGATGGCTCCTGGGATGACTAGGTAACCTTTCTTCTTTGTTCCTTCAGAGAGCAGTAGGCTCTCCCCTCCCTCCTCAAGCTCCCTAGGAGGCCCCAGTAAAGCCTGGCTGGGGACAGAGCTGCTCACCTCCTCATGGTACGTGTCTCAGATGATGCAAAAGGCTGGGCTTCTGAAACCAACTGTTGTGCTGAGTGGTGGGAAAATGACAGCACAAATAACAGTTGCCAATCCGAGCAAGGGCTACACGGCACACTGTGATCCGAGACCCCGGAAGACGGAGGCAGGCCTATCAACACGAGTTCGAGGGCAGCCGGGGTTACAGAGCGGCCACAACAATAAAACACCTACCGGCACTCGAGGACAACAAACACGGGCCCAGAAGCAAATCCTTCCCCCTAGCTCTGCCAGGCGTGGTGCTGGGATGTCACTCGAGTGATTCACCCTCAGTATCCATCAAGTCCCAGTGGAGACCGGGAAGCTCGGCGAACAGAAGGGTAGGGCGTGAGGGCCCGGCTGACGCCATCTCTTAATGTGCCAAATAGAACGAGGGGGATACACCTACATACCAGCCCATCCTTGTGCCTCAAAGAAGCATAAGGCATCAAGCCATTAGACAAAACTGGTAGAGTCCAGGGTCTATGCAGAAATTTTTCATTGTGGGGGACACTTAAAACGATAAGAGGAGACATTACAGAATACAGTTATTTCCCATCAGCAACCCTCAGGGTTCCATTTCTAATCACACACACACACACACACACACACACACACACACACACACACACACACACACACGCACCACCTCTCCAGTTTTCCACATTTGACTTTCTTTTTCTCTTGTCTCTCTTGGATTTTTCCACAGCATTGGACTTCCTGCCAGTAAGTTCCAATCAATCCTGACTTTCCCACAAGCCACTGGGCTGATGCCCGCTGGGATGTCCTGCTAGGGGAACCTCAGTCTTCTCTTCTCTTCTACAGTGCTCCTGGGCTGAGCTGTGGAGTTTCCCAGAGTCCTCATTTCCCACTGAGATGCCTCCTCATGTAGTCATGGCAACCTCACCTCTCTGCCCAGTGAGACACGCCTTTTTCCACAAGCCTAGGGTACCCAGCGCACCAGATCTGCAATGCTGCCTGGGACCTTCATGCCCGGATTGGTGAGGTCAATTGATACCTGAAGTGACCTATCAGGGTGATAGCTGCACCCCGCCTGTCCTTACCAATGCCACTGCTCCTCTTTTCCTATTCTTGCAAAAGGACCCAACACGCTGCTCCTTCTAGACCCTGGCTCTGGAGTGTCCCTGGCTGCTTACCCTGTCTCCTTCCAGAGTTTAGCTCATACAGTCATATCCGGAGCAGTATCGGGAACCAGACCCCACTGAAGGGCCCAGGAACACAAAAGTGTACCACCCACTCCTGCCTGCCCAAGAAGTTCCCTGACCCCAGGAAGACCGAACTCAGGAAGCTGAGGACCCTACCTGGAAAGCCACGTGTGGGAAGACTGCAAGTATGAGTCCTAAAGGCTGGACTCCTGAGGACACATTCTGCCATGTGCCTAGACACGCGCTGCACGTCTGCTTACAAAAGCAGGACCCTATACAGGTGGCCCCCAACCCCCGGGATGAACAGACGCCAGCACCCTTGCCAAGCCCAAGGCGGAGTGACAGGTTTTGCAGGGGCCGTCTGCACTGTGCCACTTGCCCAAGAAACGCAAGATGTGGTGCCCAGAAAGGCTTCCACACAGCTCTGACAGGGAAGGAAGGGCAAGTCCAAGAGTGGGGCTTCTGTGAGCCCCACAAGCGGGACAGCTGTCTTAGGATTTGTTTTCATTTATTTCTTCAAAGGCACAGGCCCAAGGCAAACAAGCCACATCCTTGGCACGTGTTAATCCCGAGGGCGGGAACAGTGCGATTGTTAAGTGGCCCTTTGTGACTTCCACTGGCTAGATAACTCACATTACACAGAGAAACGGCCTCCAAATTCCACAGCAAATTCCTGAACGAGGACGGACTTTCGGGAAGCCACCGGAAGATGAAGGGGCCTAGAGAGCTTGGAGGATTCCCGGTGTCACAGAGAGGGGCAAGGCTGCAGGGTCCTAGCAGTCACAAACACTGTGGGACTCAGGCTCTGAGGCGGGTAAAGGGCTGTGTGACGTGTAACGAGTTTGCCAAGCCACCTTCTCTGCCGCAGGGAACTCCTCCCTGACATTCTGGGCTGCTGTCACTCACCGTGGGTCTCCCACACTTTCTCATGTGTGACTCCACTGTCCTCTCGGCATCTACCGCACCTGGCCAGCCACCCCAAGTCGGGTCCTCCCCGGAAGTCCTAAGAACTGCCTTCGCTGACTTGAACTCAGAACCTGGCAAAGTGGCGCTGGGTTAGGGTTTTGCTCTGCATCAGGCAGGAAGAAGGGAGTTACACCTGGCTGTTTCCACTTCATGCGTCTAATTTCACCATAGCGGGCTTCAGGAGAGAGTAGGGGAAGGCCCAGGGAGGCCAACTGGTCTATCGGAGGCCACACAGCCGAAGAGCTGCTTGCTGTAGTCCGTTGGTCCCAGGCTTTCTGATATCCTGACTGCTCTTTGAAGCACTTCTCCATCTGTAGAACTCTTTTTACTATTACACGTCTTTACGTGTGTCCTAAACATACCACAAAGAGTTTCTGGTGACCAGGGATGGAAAGAAAGCTGGGAGCTTGTGGCTGGCTGTTTATTCTTTTAAGTCATCGGGCTTTGCTACATAGTCCAGACCCTTGTCTTGCTTCAGTGAGCCAAGCACTGGGGAGAAGAGGTCCACGCTCCCCCATTCTGACCCAGGTTTCCAGTGGCCACAGCCTAGTCCTGGTCCACTGCAGGCGAGATCATTGGCTCAGTGACTATAAGCCTTGCCTACTCCCAGACTCGCTCACAGATACAAGGGCTTGGGGAAAGGGTGGGAGGTCATTAGAGATGGCCTCCTGGAATCTGCCTCCTTTTGTTAGCCCTGAATACTGACAGGAAGAGGGAATCGTATGATGCTCACACCAACAGGCTGTGGCTAGAAAAAGGTCATCAGCCTCCTGGATCTTCCTTGGGGAGAAAACTAAAGAGCAGACACTAGCAGGCCAGCCCAGGTGCAACTCAGAGGCTGTATGGTTTGCAGAGGCCAGTGGAAGGCGATCAGCCAGCTTGAAACGGCAAAGCTGCAAAACCTGGCCAGTTTTGCTCCAAAGCTGATCTTTGAAATGAGCATTGAGACTTGAGTGTAAATCCAGGGGCTCGGGTGTACTGAAAAATGGACATTCAAGCTGGGCCGTGGTGGCGCACGCCTTTAATCCCAGCACTCAAGGCAGAGAGGCAGGTGGATCTCTGTGACTTCAAGGCCAGCCTGATCTACAGAGCGAGTTCCAGGATAGCCAGGGCTACACAGAGAATCTCTGACTGGGGGGAGGGTGTGTGTGTGTGTGTGTGTGTGTGTGTGTGTGTGTGTGTGTGTGAGTGTGAACATGCTAGCATAACTTCCCTGAAACATCACATGTACTATTCATCTATATCACAGCTTAACACACAGTAGTAGACATGAACTAACCATGTGACGGCCTTCTTTTATATTTCCTGGGAAAGCTGATGAAAACGCTGCCCATCTGCTGTCGCCACAGCCTCATACAGATATTACAACTCATAACAAGCTGCCCTCCAGTGTTTATGATCCAGGAGAAGTTCTCTTCAAAGACAAAGAGGCTTCCTTATTTAAACCAACAACAAATGACAGCTTATGGGCCACTGGCCAGTTCTTGTAAATAAAGTTTTATTGGCACACAGCTACACCCACTCATTTACATACTGCCACTGGCGGCCTTCCAGAAGCAGAAGCGGTGTGGATGAGTGGTAGGGAACTGCAGGGTTCCCAAAGCTGAAAATATTTACTTTCTAGCCTTGGGTAGGAAAAGTTTGCCAAACCTTAATTTACACACAAATATAACCCACTCGGCATGCTGCGCTAACGAGATTGAACACTAAATTTCTGAGTCACAACACATCCTCGGCGCTTTCTTATTTCTCTGTGTCTGTGTGTTTTGATCTTCCAATTCTGCTTCAACATTTTACTTAAAAATAGCTAATATTCCCTAAGTACGTGTTCTATGTTTAAAAAAAAAAACCCTGACTCAAGCATTCAGATGCGGGCTGTTATTTCATTCTCACTGCAAGGCTGCGGGGGAGATAACAGCCTCCAGTTGTTGGGGAGTAATGAATGAGAGAGATGAAGTCACCAGTTGACTGTGCACTGGGGGTGTTTACTACGGTGTGCTTCAACCTGGAGTAACAGAGGGGCTGGCTGGAACACCCTGGGTGTGCAGTATGCACAGGAGAGTGGACAGCGCCGGCAACCAATGCCCCAAGCGATTACAAGATGCTCTCAGGGGCTGGAAAGGATGGCCCAGTGGTTAAGAGCACTGGCTGCTCTTCCAGACGACCCGCCGGGTTCAATTCCCAGCACCCCCATGACAGCTCACGACTACTGTCTGTCGCTCTAGTTCCAGGGCATGTGGTCTGCAGGCAGTGCAAGAACATACATAGACATAAAATAAAGATGACTTAATAAGATGCTCTCAGTAGGATGGGTTTTCTGTCCTCTCTCCCCCGCCCCCCAGCTCTCTCTCTCTCTTATGCTGTTGCAGATCAAGGCAACCAGCTATGTCATAAGGACTTTTCCAGATTCAGAGAGAAGCACACGGTCCCACAAGACACTTAACGGGACCTGTAACTACCCATGTCACAGACTCTGAGATCCTGCTCCCGTGATGTAAAAAGCTCCCCATGGCTACAGTACCACACCGGTAAGCAAGAACCAATCAATGCTACATACAAATCAAGGCCCCTTTAAGGCTATGAGGCCTACCTATGCTCTGGAGGTGGAGCTCATCCTTCGTTAAGTTAGATTCCTACACACTTAGCAGTGATATGTGAAACATCAAAGGCCTCGAACCCCGGTTGTGGTTCTTTTATGTTATAGTACATATATATGTATATATATATATATATATATATATATATATAATTTTCTCTAAAAAAGCTTTGCCTGTCTGCAACCAAAATCATCTCCAGTCCATATCAACCCCTCTGAGAAACACTTGCCAAGCAGCAGTGGGTGTGAGGAGGCTGACAAGTCCAAGTGTAAGCATAGCTTCTGGGACCTCCAAGGAGAACCAGAATGACCTGGGCAACTCTCTAGAACTCTCTGTATGTTGCATCTTCAAACATAAAGCATGGGGCCACACCCACCCCACCAGATTGGGTGATCCAGAGGGCTCAGTCTGGTTCATAGACAACCCCACACAGAGCACCAGGAGCCCTAGAGAAGAAAGAGGCTCTGACTCTTTTCACTTCAAATCTGTGCAGACCCCTTACTCCCAAGCATCCTGTATGGGGACAGGTCCAGGGTGCTATGGGCTAGCCACAGTAATAGAGGCCAGAGGATCTAGGGGGACAGCCCTCCAAGGACGAGCACATGTGCTCCCATCAGCCCACAAGCCCGTTCAGGAAAATCGGTCTCCATAACAGCACTCAACAGGACACGTGGCCCGTCAGGCAGCAGAGGAATGATTGAGGAGGGGAATCAGAAACAGAAATGCAGCCTACTCTTGGAGCCCTGAGAGGGAAAGGCAGAGCCGCCCTGGGCCTTAGAGTCACCAGTACCAACATCACCACAACCGGTGCCAGCAAACAGTGCCAGGACAACCAGCACCAGACCAGTAGTAATGCCAGCATCTTGAGCACCAGCAACAACAGGGCCAAACATCTACCTGGTGAGCCTGGTGGCTCTGGGCCTAGTGCTGCAGGCTGCAGGTTCTAGAAGCTACATTCAAGTGTGTCTGCCTGCCTTGCTTTTGTCATGCCCCAGTCAATGACCGGTTCATTCCCAAGCACCTCAGCTTACAAGAAAAAAATAAAAATAAAAAAATCACATAGTTCCCTACTGATGGGGACACAGACCGAAAGGAAAAAGGTGACTTTCCCCAGGATCCAGTCACTAGAGGGGACAAGAAGGAAGCGGAAGTCAATTCCCTCAGCTCCAGACAGTGCAGTCCTTGGCTGTGGAGTCAGACAGCACTGTGCTCCCTGGGGACACCTACTTGGCTTCTCTGAACTCATCCCTCCAACAGTAACCCAGATGTCTAGCAGCATCGATCCCGTGGCTCCGTTCTGGTGCATATGCGGATGGATCAGTGTTTGCCGCCCAGAGGCTGACCTCACAAATAGTGATATTTGCTCCATCCGTGTCTACAGGACGTGGCCTCGGGCCACCGACTTGTTTCTCACAATGCGGTTCCGGTTTCTTTGGAGAGCGAGCCCACCCTCACCCTCTTGTGAGAATTGGGAGATAAAGAGCACCACCACAAAAGGGTTTATTCTAGGGAGTCACCAATAAACAAGGAGAAAGAGAGCTGTGAGCAACCAGATAAGTGAGGCGCAGCTGTCACAGGTGGAATGGGGGGGAGGGTATGAAGACATGAAGAGCCTCAACAGCCTCTCCCTGACATGACTCCACTCACCACCCCAGCTCGGGCAGATCCGTAAGCCGGGCTCCAAACACCCCACCTAACAGGGCCCACTTACCAAAGGCACAGATTCCCCCTAGACCACGGTTGACTAACCGAGTGTGGTTCTCCCAGCCTGATTCAGTTCCAGCCGCCGTCCCAGCCCTGGTACCCGAGTCCTGCAGGAGGTCCCTAAAGTCTGTTTTTCTCAGGTGGAGAAAAGAAGACTCTAGGTTTTTAGGGTTCAAGAGCAACTACAGGAGTAAGCCCCACCACGTCACCTCCAGACCTAGGAGAAAGCCTTCCTCCTTCCGCTGACCCTGCTGGTCCTGTACAAAACACCAAGCAGCCAAGCTTCTAGCTTCCCACTTGGCCTTTTCCTAAATACATACCTACGTAAGTCACAAGCCTCAAGGTTCTCGGCTATAGCGTGGAGACACACTAGCCACCTGAGGGTGTAAATCACACAATCGTTCCAAAGGACCGTGCTCCTATTCTCAGCGGGGCTGCAAGAAAGCCACCATGGTCACCATCTCCTCAGAGGAACCCTGCCCCAGCAGTTTCCTATGTGTCTAGCCTTTAAGCAAGACAGCAAGGGCCTCAGGCTCCTGGAGCATAAAGTCAGGGCACATCTGTGAATAACTACATCACCAAAACCAGAGGACTCTGTTTGCCTAAGCGTTTATCGTTGTCACTGGAGACCTAGAAGCCCATCCCAAGCAGACCCTATCTCCTGTGCCACTTTGGGAGCCAGATGGTGACCTGAGCACTGGGCTGCTTCCTACTGAGCTACCACGCACTCTCCTTTGGGTAGCCTGGGTTCTACCAACCTTGCAACCGCGGAGGGGCCAAGCCTCCTGCCAGCAAACTGCACGACCATGAGGGCCTCGGTTGTGGAGTCCACTACTGCCTCCCTCCAGCCGGCAGAAGGCTCCTTTTCTTTGTAGATGGCAGGCCTGAAGCTCAGCCTTCCCATGCGCTTCAAGAAATATGACCCTTGAGAGCCTGTCCAGGCCAACCCATGGTGTCTGGTGCAAACTGTAGCACTGCTGACCATGCTCCACTCAGGAAGTTTTCAGGGCCGAGCAGCACTCACGCTCCCTAGAACCTGCCCTGCACAGGAGCTGCCCTGACTCTGGGCCAAGCTCTGCAGGCACGGCCTGCTTTGTGAGGCTCAATTCCAGCCCAATGATAGAAGAGCATACCAACTTTAGGCATGCCAAAGAGGGGCCCCCGACTGTCACTTGCCCTGAGTCACATGGGGCGGTAGAGATTTAAAGCCAGAACAGCCACGTGCTGACACAAGCGTCCCACGGTACCAACCATCTGGTCTCACGTTGTTCCCAGCTCTAGGCACAGAGCCAAGAAATGATTCTATTGTGTTTGTCTCTTCCCTGTGGAGGAGCCCGTCTCAATGCCCTATCCATCACGTCTCAATGCCTTATCCATCACATCTTCATTTGTCCTTTTTTACAGTACGAGGGACCACATGCCAGGTACCCACCGGGTCTCAGAGACCCAGACACCCTCCTCCTCGGGCCTTGGCCTTTAGGGCGTTTATGGCCTAGAGGACAAAAACAGAAATAAGAACCTACGATCAATAAATACCTGTCAACATGGGGAAGTAGGGTGGCTCCAGGGAAGATGATGATGATTATTATTATTATTACTACTATTATTATTATTGGGCTGTTTTTTGTTTATCTGTTTTCATTGTGGATCTGCCCTGGTGATCCTGGAACTCGTGCTATAGACCAGGCTGGCTTTAAACTCACAGAGATCCGCCTGCTGGAATTAATGGCATGCGCCAGCACTTCCCTGGTTGTTTATTATTATTATTATTATTATTATTATTATTATTATTATTATTATTTATTTATTTATTTAAAAAGGCTTACTTTCTGTCTTTCTCCCATAGGTTCCCGCATCACACCAGATACATAAATGGACACAGAAGACAGCAGATCTTTTCCTAATAGCTATACAACAAAGACCTCTTCAACTACCAGCCAGGACAGCCTGGCCTAAAACACAGGAAGAACACTTCATCAAAAGGAGAAGGGTCTGGGGACTTACATTTTAGAGGGAGCTCCAGGTTGCCCGAGAGATCAGAGCAAATATTCTCATTGAGTCAAGGGTAGGGATGCAGTCTTCTCGGCTATGGTCCTTGTCCCCAGTGGGCATCCAGATTCCAAGAACCCAGTAGGTGATTTGTAGCATCCCAAGGCGAGCCAGGTATGTTATTCCAGAGTCAGCATCCGGCAGCATTACTCCCCAGGAAACTGCATCTTACTGTAAATCCACAGGGCTCAGAAAATCCCTACGAGAGGCTCCATGTCGTCTGCAAACACAGCCTGTTGGAGGGCATCTTCTTACCGTGGTCCACATTGAGGTCAGGCCTGAGACAAGGGAGAAGAAAACAGCGTTGGCGCAATCACAGATGACAATAGGAAATCGCCACTCCTTCCTTATACTTGACACTGACCTGCTCGCAGAGACAGGTGCTGAAAAATACTGCCTGTGGCACTGGTACCCAAATACAGGTGTGTGGAAGACCTGGGTGTGGGAGAAGAGCCTTCAGGGAGTGCCACTCAGCCGTTTTTAGCTGCAGGAGGATACACAGAGCTGCCCCGAGGCGAGTAGGACCTGACTGTGCCCAGTGTTCATGGGGAGAGAGTTATTGGCTTGCCTGGGCTCACAAAAGGTCAGACCTGGCACCTAGCCCAGACTCCCCTGCAGGTCTGAAAGGTCCCAGTAGGGAGCTACTACCAGGCTTAGAGACTTAGGGTCAGCTGGTGGGAAGTCAGTCTTTGTTTGGTTTCTTTTTAAAGACAACCACAGAAGGCTGGCCTGGTTCCAGGTCCTGCCTGGCTCAATGAGCTTCTCCTCCAGGACAGGGCCCAGGGCGTGTGACTTTCCTTATTCATTCAGTGATTCCCAGGTCCTTCTAGACTGGTCTAGCTACTGTGTCTTGGACTCCTCGATCCAATGTATTCATGTCATCCCAGACATCACAGAGTTTGGGGCCTGGACTCCCCCAGTCACCTGAGAGCACTCAGGGCCCTTCAAGGATCATCCTGCTAGGAGCCCTGGCCCTAACACATCCTATACAATGTCCCAATCATCTGCGATTCTCTCACAGAGTTTCCAGAGTGATACCCAGAGGCACAGACAGTCGAGGGTGATTCACCCTAGTAGAAGAGCAACCAGAAGCTAAGCAGTCTGTCTCCCAAGCTGAGTCCTGCTCTGGTGTCCTGCATTACCTTGTGAGGAATACCTACCCAAGATGGCTATACCTAAAAATTCACACACAGGCAATCTCACCTCAGCTTCACACACATACACAAAAAGCTGTGAGCTATAGATTGTTATTATTTGGCTGCCGAGATTAAAGTGGCACACCTTTAATCCCAGCATTCGGGAGGTAGAGGCAGGTGGATCTCTGTGAGTTTGAGGCCAGCCTGGTCTACAGAGCGAGGTCCAGGACAGCCTCCAAAACAATACAGAGAAACCCTGTCTCAAAAAAACAAACAAACAAACAAACAAAAAGAAACTTGAGATCCATTGCAGCACCTGGGAGGAGCCTGTAATCCATTCAGCCTATCAGAGGGGAAGACATGGGGGGGGCAGGGTTGCCATTGGGTCAGGTGTGTGATTTACACCATAGCCTCAGTTAACAGTCCGGGGAGGAGAGGGGGAGCACATTATTAAATATTTACTGAGGACCACAGGCAAATCTAAAACCAGGTTTATCTTGTTGTAGTCAAGTCCATTAAAGTTCTGTCACCTGAGGGAGAGTTATCTCATGGCCGGTTGAACATTACTATAGCCAGCTGGTAGTTTCTGACCAAGGGCAGCGGCAGTGTGGATGCTCAGGAGAAAAGGTACCACATCATACTCTCACCTGCCAGAAAACTATGGGGGGTGGGGGGTGGGGGGTTGGCTTGCTACTCCAGGGCTTCAGGAGTCCTCAAACCCAAGCCCTCCTCTCACAGAGAGGAGCCTCGTTGTGCCTCCTGCTTACAGGCCAGGGAGCTAAAATCAAGAAGACAGACCCCGGGGAACGGCTGCCTAACTGAGCAGACGGCATTCTGCAGAAGACAACTCTTTCAAAGTGACACATGTGGACACTGTCACGTGCAGTCTACTTATATGGAGTAGAGGCATGGCCTTTGGGTCCAGGCTCTTCGGTCTAGTCTTTGGCATAAGTGCATAGGACCAGCAAAAGGGGCAAGCCCGAGATCTCCCCAGCGTTGCTAGGAAACCCCAGAAATGCATGTCAGCTACAGGATGCACTTTAAGATCACAGGCAGGGGCTGGAGAGATGGCTCAGGCTTAGGAGCCCTGGCTGCTCTTCCAAAGGACCCGGGTTCAATTCCCAGCACCCACATGCCAGCTCCCCAGTTGCAGGCAATGCAACACCCTCACACAGACAAATGTGCACTTAAAATAAAAATAAATAAATAAGATACATTAGAGATATAAGCTCACACAGAATCTAAGGAGCGATGAGCAGGGACTGAGTTCCAGCAATGCGTATAGCCCACATCACAAAGATAACTGGGGGGAGGGGGGAGTGGAGGGTGAAGGAAGACAGCAGGAAAGCATATGTATAAGGACACAAAGAAAGCTAAACTTCTCTGTGCTCTTACAAGCCAGGACCAGGGGTACAAGCCTAGTGATGTGACTTCAACCCCTGGGTCCCATGTGAAACATAAAAGGGAAGACCCAAGTCTACAAAGTCATCCTCTAACACATGCGCAAAAAATAAATTAATTAATTCAATTAAACCGAAGTTGTGAGCCTCCTAGCCTTTAATGGCTGAGCCATCGCCTCACCCACCCCCATCTGCTGCTTGGTTTGTTTGCTTGAGTGTTTGGTTGGTTGGTTGGTTGGTTGTAGGCAGGTTTTCTGTGTAAGCCCTGGCTGTCCCCCAACTCAGAGACCAGCCTGCCTCTGCGTGTGCCACCACCGCCCAGCCGAGTGTGCACCAACATCACCAGGCTATGCACAACCAAATGAACAGCAAAAGGGAAAGAAGTCAAAATAAAGCTTTGCTGAGTGGCTGGGGTGACACTCCGTTTGACCCCGGCGCTGGCTGATCCAGAACCGTCCAACTGCTTGCACTACGTGCACTTTGGTGCCGGTGCCACCTCTGTAAAAAGTGGGGTTCCCCTTCCCTCTGGCAGTTTCTGGGGCTCCCTGCCTCATCACATCATCTTCTCACAGGCTGCTGCGGTCAGCCGGCCACGCCTGGAAGGCATCCAGGAGAAGGCTCATCAGGAGGCGTGCTCTGATGCGCGGTGACACAGAAATTGCCCCACTAGAAAATGCAGCCTCGGGTCCTTTCTCTTGGCTAAGTCCCTGTCCTCTCTGTCTCCCAGGCTGTCAGGCCCAGATGTGTCACTTCCTTCTTGACCCTCCCTCCTGGATATTTGTTCCCGCTGACCCCTGCAAGCAGAGGCTGGTAAGAAACACAGGTCGCCTCGGTCCCCTACCCAAGCCAGGAGAGGAAAGCCCTTTGTGTGTGAACTCCCTTCAACATGGATGAACTGAGGAGCGCTTTGCAAGCCGCAGGGTCAGCCCCCGGAGAAGAGGGACAGGGTCCCTGGCATCCATCCATTTTGTATCCCACTGTGTATGGCTTAGTATCATCCCTTCACTTCCTGTAGGACATCTTGACGCCACATGTAAGTAAGAACACGCATCTGAGTTTCTCACTCCTCCTCTCCATCTTCTAGAAACGTCCACTATGCTGTTAATAATATCAGCAGATGTCAATCCTAACGCCTGGGCAATGCAGCCGAAGGACTGTGCAGTCCGTAGACTGCAGGGGCCTGGAAAACGGTCCTGGGAGGTCAGGCTTGCCCAGCCTCACTGTCCCACCCCCCCTCACTTGGAAAGCTAAGATTTCTTAAACACAATAAAGAAGATGACTCCTTCCCTCCCTCAGTGGAGCATAGAAGCAGCAGTCACCAAGACATGTCTGTGTAGCCCTAGTCTTGCACCCCAGGGAGACGCGTCAGGATCTGTTCCCACACCACCCTGCAGACAAGACTCCATGTTTGCTTTGCTTCCTTTCTTCCCCAAGGTGCTGAATGGACAGGAATCGGCTGCTTCAAGACCCCCAAGCTTTCGAGCACTATTCCTCCTCATACTCATGCATTCAGGGAGTGCAACCTACTTGTTCTGGATTCTGGTAGACATGTACTGCAAGCAGCTGAGACATCCAGTCTCATGAAATGAATAACTAGTGGATTCTTGAACCTTCCATTGATAGCCATTGTTGAACTAGTTGGACCATGGCCTGTAAGTCATTCTGATGAGATTTATTATATACATAATATATATTTTTATTATGTATATTTATATCACACACACACACACACACTCTCACACACCTTTTCTGTAAGTCCTGTTCCTCTAGAAAACCCTAGTACAAAATCCTTCTTTTAAACTGTTTTTCTCCTCAGGTTCATGACATAACAAAACTGACTCATACAAAGGGTTTGGTTTCCTTATTTGCAGGACTGCTCAGAACAGAGCAGGCGAGCCCAGCAGCCCCTGCGGCTCCTGGGGTGGGGGTGGGGGGGCATTCTAAGCCCTAGCCTGGAAGAACAGCAGCCAGTTAAGGACTTCCTACCAGCACTGGAGAAGCTGGTAAAGGAGTTGAGATAAACCTCAGTGCTCTGTTCTCCCCAGGCCGCTAAGAACACTAAGAATAAGACGCTCTCCTCAGGACCTAGGAAACCTCAGGACACCCCTCTCCTTCAGAAGGGCTCAGAAGGCAGGCAGCCTCTGGGCCACTGGAAGTTGAGAGAGAAAGTTGTCAGCTCCCTACAGGCTGGAAGACCACAGGAATGTCAAGAAAGGGAAGGGCCCGCCGGTGTGTAGTGAGGAGGATAAGGACTTTCCCTTACACCGCAGGACACAGCCGGCTATCTCATCTGCTTCTATCCAGGCCACAGTGATCATGACTCCCCCAAGCTCGTGTCCATGGATCATCATGGAGACGGGAGGCCTTGTGCACCAACAGCCCCAATGCCGTGAAAGTTCCTATCGCCTCTGCCAAGGCGGCAACCAGCCCCATACCTGCACTACAGCCGATGCAAGCAGAATGAGTCACAGGAGTGATGATAAGACGGACTGGAATGAAGAAGACTCCCAACCCTTAGACATTCCATTCCAGCTACCACGCACGGTACAGCACATCTCCCGCAATTACCTCCTTCTGGACCTGTTCGTCCCTATTGACTTCTCATTCAGCAAAGCCCTTTTCACTCCTAGTCTTCTTGTAATCCCTTGTGACTGACCCTAAGACTAATCCATCACCTTCCCTTCCCGGTGCCCCCACAGCATGACGTCATCGGTTTTAAACCCCAAGCCTGCTGTCATCTCT